GGTGGCTCCGTACAGTTGTAAAGAAACAGCAGCGGAAAAATAAGGTCTTCACAATGACGCAAAATATTTGCTATTGATGTAAAATGGGGATTTTTTTTGGAAGTAGAAACGCTTGCGTAATCTTTATACTTCAAGCGTAATCGTTCGAAAGAAGCAAATTGTGTGTTGCTATGGTAACAATGTGGCCTTAGCGACAGCAGACAAAGATCAAATTTTGGACCAAAAATGAATTTATTAAAATTTCTGAAATTTTGTAGGTTTAGAGGGACTATCTAATGGAAGATTCTATCAAAAAATTAAGGTTGTTATAAATTCAGTTTTTGAGATATTACGCGAAATTTGTTTTATCAAAAATTATCATAATTATCTTTTTGCTTTCTTGAGAAAATATTTTCTGAGAGCTGAAAAATTTTCTAGGACCAATGGCCCCCTGGTCCGATAAGTTTTCCACTCCTGAATGTTTCTTCTGGAAAAACCGGCAACTTCGTCAAGTTTCTAACAAAGACAAGCCGTGTCGAGCGTAAATTTTTGCGAGCATATTTAGCGCCGCCATATTTTGATTTTCCAGTCTTTTCCATAAGTCTTTTGTTGTCTACAGCCAAGTAACAACACGGGGGAGAATAACATTGCACAGCCTGTCATCGCTTCAACGCTGCCAGCAAATGGCGGTGCAGTTGTATTGAGCACAGAGTCTTTGCCCAAGCATATTGAAGTGAGTTCGGAGATCATATCAAGGCCGGCCGAAGGAGTTCTACCAGACGAGGTGGCTGAATCGTTTGTTGAAAAGGGTGCCACTGATATCTTACAGCAAGATCAACAACTGGAGTGCATTTCTGAAGAAGAGATCTCAACCACAGTTCACGAAGGTAAGATCACGACTTTTGTGTTTTCATGTCGAAAAGACATTATTGACTAATTGAATTTTCAATATTCATGCGCAAATTATATCTATTTTGAACACTCTTGAAACCGATGAGCTATATATAAATCTGGAGTAAGAACTCCAGTCATTCGGCCTATGGGAAAAGTGAAGCCAATATGGCGGGAATGGATCATTCCCCAATTAACCAAAATTTTGAACTCAACAAGTCTAGACAAAAATTTTATCACAGCTTGAAAGAGCATCACAAAATTAGTAATATTCCAAAGTTTCGTTGCAAAATGTTGTAAAATGTGGATAATATAGCCTTGTGAAGTTTGCAATTTTCAGTCATTTTAGATTACAAACGGGAAATGGTTACCACTTCTGTGCGTAATACAAAATGACTGAAAATTACAAACTTCGCAAGGCTATATTATCCGCATTTTACAACATTTCGCAACGAAACTTTGGAATATTACTAATTTTGTGATGCTCTTTCAAGCTGTGATGAAATTTTTGTTTAGGTTAGTTAAGATTAAAATTTTGGAAAAGTGGTAACCATTTCCCATTTGTAATCTAAAATGACTGAAAATTGCAAATTTCGCAAGGCTATATCTCATCCGCATTTTACAACATTTCGCAACGAAACTTTGGAATATTACTAATTTTGTGATGCTCTTTCGTGCTATGATGGAATTTTGTGTAGATTTGTTGAGATCAAAATTTTGGTTCATTGGGGAATGGTCCATTGACGTCCAATAGCTATGTCGTAAACAGTTTTAATACCATCTTTCCCAGCTAATTCAAGTTTTTCTAACTGACCGTATCGCTAAACAAGTTAGTAAACCATAGTGTTATTCTTTACTTGGTGTTAAACACTGAGTCAGTTCTCTCGAACATTTCTTCAGACCTGGAAAAAAGTGGGATCTCGGGATCCTGAGGAACATTTGCCTTAGCAACAAGATTGAGTAACATTTTGAATTTTTCACGCGTACGTACTTTAAGGGAATATTTTAAGGAATCGTATTTAGTTATATTTATTTATTTATACAACTTCGCTATTTAATAATTTTACACGATGACATGTATATAATACAAATACAAATACAAATACAAATACAAATACAAATACAAATACAAATACAAATACAAATACAAATACAAATACAAATACAAAAACAATACAAATACAAAAACAATACAAATACAAATACAATACAATACAAAAACAATACAATACAAAAACAACACAATACAAAAACAATACAATACAAAAACAATACAATACAAAAACAATACAATACAAAAACAATACAATAACAATACAATACAAAAACAATACAATACAAAAACAATACAATACAATACAATACAAAAACAACATAATACAAAAACAATACAATACGAAAACAATACAATACAAAAACAATACAATACAAAAACAATACAATACAAAAACAATACAATACAAAAACAATACAATACAAAAACAATACAATACAAAAACAATACAATACAATACAATACAAAAACAATACAATACAAAAACAATACAAGACAGTACAGTATATATATAGTTCAGTACAGTACAATACATACAGTCAGATGGCTAGGACACCACAACAGTTAAAACCAATTACTGTGGGCCCTTATCTGCCATATGAGTCTATTTTCAGACTGCAAAGTGTTCTTCGTATCCTGTTAATAGTATTTGAAGATTGTTTTGTTTCCTCGGCAGTTTTACAACTAATATAATTGAGGAACATTTGAAAAAGGCAAATTTAGGATCCGAGGAACATTGAACACTTTCAGGTCTGCATTTCTTCCAATCCTTGAAAACCTCCTCAAAACAACTGTGCAAAATTCCTACTGTGATCACAGAAACTTTGGTAGTGTAAAACCAGGCTTAATATATGCTTGTCTTATTCCCCACATTAGAAAATGAAACTAACAAAGCACTTTACAATCCTAATACCGCTGAACACAACGACAGAAGCCACGAACAGCCCCATGATGCACTGGCATATGGTCACCGCTTGCCCGAGGAGGCCACATCTCCCACTGTGACCCAGTCCCTTGACATGAATTTTTCCACCACGGACAGCGCTATATACTCCCATTCACTCGTTCCCAGTTTAGCCTCGAATACTCGTCCCGCGCGGATAATCACGGAGGAGGTCATGATCGCGCAACCCACACTACCCGAACATATTCTGCAAACGCAAGGTGATGAGCCCGCGTTTTTAGCGGATTCAGCCATAGTGGTGTCCAGTCCGCTTGAAATTGTACACGGCTCGCTGGGAGAGGTTGCAAATGGTGTCGGCGGTATGGCGTCGGAGAGTTTGATCATAGAGAATGAGATGACGTATTTTAAATAACGTCGAAGATTAATTTGATTGGTAGCCAAAGCTTTTGATTAGATCGTAGTCGATCACGGCATGGTCTGGAAACTCTGCCACAGAATAAACTCGTACAGAAGTCCGATTTGACTGAGTCGGACGTCTGTATCTATTCTACTCTGTGACTCTTTGAAAGTCTTGTTCTATCTTTTTGTTCATGTTTATGCAAACTGAAGCTCGGCGAAGACGATGGATTTTTGGCATTCAATGGCATCGCCTCGCCGAATCACTGTTGAAATATTGATCAGCAAATTTCAAAAGAGTTGGACATGATGAAGCCGACTTCAAATAAAATCAGTCGCAGCTCATTATAGACGCTTCGAAGTTTGTGTCCAGACCATGTCTTGATTGAATATGATGAAATGTAATTCTGTTTGCACAGTAACTGTGTTTGAGAAATAAAATGTTCCCGATGAAAAAATTGAGTAAATATTTTGGGATTTTCGAGCAGGGCTGTACGCAGGATTTTTTCACCAGGAGGAACAATAAAGCTTGGATGAAACGATAATGAGAGTTTGCAGTCGACTCATCTCACATGGGGTATCTGATTGGGAAGCCTCGCGGTGCCTCGGAAGGCTGTCTCCAATTGGGTGGGAGATTTCTAAAGAACGAATCAATTCATTGTTATAAACACAAAAGCAATTGTCAAATCGAGCCAATGAAAATCACTCTTCCGAGTTACTGCGAAGCTACCCATCTGGTTCAGTAAAAAAATTTCGAACACCCATTCGCAGGCTAAAACCCATCGAGACGCCTGCGTAGGATGCTATTCACGCGACCTTGGTCAGCTGTTCTTAATTCGGATTGGTAAGAGAATGTTCTATTTTTATTCGCAAAATGTCACACCCATCGCACATGAGAGACTAAAGCCAAAGCTTTTGATTAGATCGTGGTCGATCACGGCATGGTCTGGAATCCTGCCACAGAATAAACACTCACAGAAGTCCGACTTGACTGAGTCGGATGTCTGTATCTACTCTACTCTGTGTCTCTTTGAAAGTCTTTTCTGTCTTTTTGTTCATGTTTATGCAAACTGAAGCTCGGCGAAGACAATTGATTTTTGGCATTCAATGGCATCCGCCTCGAACACCCATTCGCAGGCTAAAACCCATAGAGACGCCTGCATAGGAGGCCATCACGCGTCCTTGGTCAGCTGTTCTTAATGCTTTCCCAACACTATCATGTATTCTATTGAAGTTAAAACATAGTTGGAACATTCATCAAACCTTTATTTTGTTAATCTAGAGCTTGAAATGTCCCCTGTAAAAATTCGTGACTGCCAACTAGCGCAATTACGAATACGAAAATAAAGAAAGAATTTTTTATCAATCCTTTCAAAGCCTCTGGGATGACGACAATGTTGATACCGTAAACCTATCATTATCATTCGGCGAATTTCCTGAGATCCTAAGAGGGGGTCGAAAAAGAGTACTCTTTGTACGCTTGAGAAAATGTAAACATAATTGGTTTTTATAACCCATATATATATATATATATGTATATATATATATATATATATATATATGGGTTATAAAATATATGTATATATATAAGTTAGAGTTATAAACCGAGAAGGAGGTTTATAACTGATATATTGCCCCCGAGGACAATATATCAGTTATAAACCGACTTTCGAGTTTTATAACTCTAACTTATATCTCATTTGTGGAGGTTTTCTAACATATTTTGTCATTTTCAAAAATTTTTGATGAAAAATTCTCGCGTTTTGTTCGAAAAGTTTGATGTAATTATTTATTCAAGGTATATTAGCTAGTTATAAACCTCGGACGATCAAAGAAAACCGACACAAATGAGATATAAATATATATATATATATATATACTTGTGGTTCGAGCTCGACAACTGGACTCTGACTGCGTACTAGAATGCTGTCACGTCTGCATTGACGTCACTAATCTCACTTAAAATTAATAGTCAACAGCGGCCATTTTGAAACTTAACTGCGATCACTAAGCGGCGTCGAACGTTTCTCAAAAAACTTCCCATACTCGATATATTGCGTTGATACATTTGCGTAGTTGCTTGAGAAACGTCAATCGCCCCCTTAATGCGTGATATGGGAAATAGAAAGGTTATAAGCCAATCCACCTCAAAAACACGTGCCATTCGGTAGTCGTGGACGTCATCCATTGAGTTTCGACCCAAGAATGTTAAAAAAAACATGCCGGTCACGAGAGTTTTTTTTTTATTTTACAATTGTAACAATTGAAGGTTTCAAAGTCTCAGACAACGGGACAAATATTAAAAATCCTAAATTAAGTCCTGCCTGACAAGAGTTGATGAGAGTTGACAGTCACGTATTCGATCGGCAGGGGACATTCCAAGCTCTAGTTTGACAAAATAAATTCATAAATGAGTGTTCCAACTATATGTTTCAACTTAAATAGAATACATGATAGTGTTGGGAAAGCATTAAGAACGGCTAACCAAGAGGCAAGACCGCGTGATTGGCTAACTCTCGTCCTCGTTTAATCCGGAGGACTTCAGACATATACTTGTAGTTGTATCCTGTTGTCGCGGTTGAAAGATTGATGCTTCTCATCGATCTAAATTTTAAGAAGGAGAACATGTAGGGTACGCCGGTTGATACCATACCGCGCGGATATCTTTCCGTAGGGACGCGCGAAAGCACCTATCCGATACGTTATGTACAACTTTCAGAAGCTGAGCGAAACGACATCTCTCCTTTGCAATATGCCAATAATTCCTCTGAAAATAGCGTTCCTAAGAGGTCCACAGATAGGTGTTTTTTGACGTCGTTATGGAAAGCTATATCCAATACAGTCTAAACGTATAGCCTAAGTAAAGATACTGCCAGCATGCAGGGTAAAGTAATCGTGTCCGGTTTAAATATGAATATAATTTTTTTGTTAAAAAAAATTAAAAAGACCTCTATGCAGACATAAAATATTCTAAAAATTCTGTTCCAAACGTTTCGCCGGTGAGGGATTCTTGACATTCCCACTGAAGAAGCATAGAGTATAGAGTCATATTAAATGATCGTGCTTCGTATAGAGTATGAAGTATAGAGTCATATTAAATGATCGTGCTTCGACGTCAATGACAGGAAAGCGTTAACGACAACATGCCCTACGTACATGACTTATCACCCGTGTCGTCTTGGGATGCGAATATAAAGATGAGATTAATATATGCATCAAGCATTCAATTGCGAAGTGCATCTATATATACAGCTCAAGGTTCTGCTGATCTGATCTCCAGTCACGAAATGTAAGTTATAGCAATTTCTATAGTTTTTATTTTGATCGCAACGTACTGTCGTAAGCAAGTTCTACTAGACGTTGTGAATTTCTTGTCTTCTGTGTGCTATAATGCAAGTCAATCTTTTCTGATTGTAGACTAGATATATATGAACATTCTTGGATAGTTGTTTTTACAGTGCGAGACTTGTCCTGGCCTGAGCTTTGCCTTTCTTTGGCCTACATTTTTGTAGTGTAAACTAACTATCTCTGACCTAGCGCAGACCTCACCTGCGCAGCCTTCGTTGGGTCGGCATATAAGTACAATACTTATAATTACGCTTGTTTATATTGACTTAGCCTAGGCCAATAATCTTTACAACAATCGTGATATTACTTTCCTAACTATGTTTATCTTAACCCACCCTGTCAACTTTCCCTGTGGGAGGAAAATGGAGGAAAGCCGGCGACTTTCGGGAGATTCTTTTCAGATGAATCCGTAGCAAGTGCTGAGATCGTAGGTTCGATTCTCGCTCTGGCGACTGCGTCGGCAATTAGAGAGTTTGGCAAATACAACGGCATGCTCCCCCTGGAAAATCTTCAATTTTAGAAGTCCAGCACACTTGAGTAATATGATCTGCCACTTGGGATTATCACAGTAGCATATAAGGTTAACTTGAATGACTATATATATACATGAACTTACCTATATCAGAGCTTACGGTTACAGCTCAACAGCTGGCCTCTGCTCAGTTGGTTAGAGCGCTGCACCGGAATCGCATGGCCGTAGGTTCAATTCCTACCAGAGGACCTTGTGCTGCATTTTTCGCAGTCGTTCCTGGTTAGGTCTTAAAATGTATATATTCTCACTTGGATTACAAACCCTAACATCCTAGCATATAAGGTTACACTACAGAGCACAGTTGTTCGGGAACTATTGCGCGTTCAATTTTTAGCCAATCCGTTTCATATTTGCACCAAATGTTGCCAAGTAAACGCTATATATACCAGTACTGGAAAATAAACAAAACATTCAATAGTTTTTCAAATATTTTTGACTGCCTGAAGTCGAGGTACCTAGTATCTTCCGCGAATTTACTCAAATTTTCCGCATATTGTTTACACTTCTTGGTAATCGTTCCATGTTTCGCGCACCAATATAGTAAACGTTATGTAATGGATATTATAGTGTACTGAAAAGTTAACTGGATACCTCCATATACATATATACACACTCTAACCCTATCCCTAACCTTAAACCTAACCCTAATACCTAACCCCTAACCCTAACTTATATTGGTGCGCGAAACATGGAACGATAACCCACTTCTTGATGACTGAAATCAAATTTCAAACACTCATAAAAATTCATACTAAGGTCTAAGCTTATTGGCAAATCATGTCAACGTGTCGCGTGAAGAGGCTTTAATATACCTGATAAAACTCATCTTCATTGGTGTTCTTTAGCCTGGTTTCCATGCATTTGGTCGTAAAAATAGAGCCACGATAGTCTTTCTCAACGGCCAGTTTATAATAGTTTAACCACACATAAAGCACATATAATTTCAGTTGTATTTCGGCTGATGAGAGAAATCGTGACTCAATCTTTACAACACGTTACGACCATAGAATAAAGTCACGTAAAAATAGAATCCATTCTTCGGTATTCTTTACAAAAAATACTAATATTCAGTAATTAGACGGCATCTCGTCGTGTTTGAAGCTATCCAAAACACTTGTACGTGATCATATTCATATCTAAAATGCTCATGCTGCGCACAGTCGCATTTTAAATATGACAAAACACTCCTACACGTGTTTTAAATAGTACTTGAAGTCTTAGCAAATAGCAATTTTGTCAGCGATTTCTGGTGTGTTTCTGACAGATGCAAATGAGTGAACTCCACACAAAAGTATAGACAGTATAGAGTCGCTTTTCAGAAGTAAACAATTCTAGTCTTTTGCATGTCATTCATTCCATCACATTTACCAGGAGCCGAGGAGAAAAATCGCCCACAGAATTGCTAGTGCGTGTGATTGTGTGAACCATGCAGGCTTGAGTTCCATTGACATTGTCTTGCGCAATAACGCAGTTCTGGAAAGGACCTCGACTCAAGCTCGTCATTGTGTGTATTTTTTCACTTTTTAAACAAAAACAACCTTTTATCTGACATACAGTCACGATTTAGACCTCTTCACTCAACGTTAACAGCTATGCTTGATGTCACTGATAAATGGTACACTAACATGGACAGTGGGTTAATAAATGCTGTCTTATTCATTGATTTAAAAAAGGCTTTTGATACCATTGATCATAACATTTTACTACAGAAGTTAACTTGTTACGGTTTCAACAAAGAAGCGATTGATCTTTTTAGAAACTATCTTTCTGATCGTACTCAAATAACAGTTATTAACAACATACGATCTGATACTCGTAAAGTAACATGTGGAGTTCCTCAGGGGTCTATCTTAGGTCCACTACTGTTTTTAATATATATAAACGACCTACCTAATAGTGAATTGGTATCAGATGGGCGTTTATTCGCTGATGATACCAACTTGACTTTTGCGGACAGCAACCCTGACAAGTTGATTTCTGTTCTAAATGACGACCTTAAAACTCTCCAAAACTGGCTTAACCAGAATAAACTAAGCCTGAATGCGGTTAAAACTAAATGTATGTTTATGGCATCCAGGCAAAAATTAAGTACTATTCCTGAAGAACCTAATATTGCTATCGCCGGAAACAAAATTGAAAGAGTTAGATCTTATAAGTGTTTAGGTTTAAACCTGGACGAGAGTTTGACATGGGAGCATCATGTTTCTACTATAATCTCCAAAGTCTCCAAGGTGATTGGAGTTCTACGAAGACTAACACCATTGCTCCCACAGTCAACTCTTGTCATGATCTATAACTCTTTAGCACAGCTTTACTTTGATTATTGTAGTATTGTCTGGGATAGCCTAGGTAATGGTCTTGGACAAAGGTTACAGCGATTACAGAATAGGGCCGCAAGAATTATTACTGAATCTGATTATAACATCCGGTCATCAGATATTTTA